TAGATATAGATTAAATATAGATCTATAGTTTAAATATAGATCTATAAGTTAAATATAGATCTATAGGTTAGATATAGATTAAATATAGATCTATAGTTTAAATATAGATCTATAAGTTAAATATAGATCTATAGGTTAGATATAGATTAAATATAGATCTATAGTTTAAATATAGATCTATAAGTTAAATATAGATCTATAGGTTAAATATAGATCTACAGGTTAAATATAGATCTATAGGTTAGATATAGATTAAATATAGATCTATAGTTTAAATATAGATCTATAAGTTAAATATAGATCTATAGGTTAAATATAGATCTATAGGTTAGATATAGATCTGTAGGTTAGATATAGATCTATAGATTAAATATAGATCTATAAGTTAAATATAGATCTATAGATTAAATATAGATCTATAGGTTAAATATAGATCCATAGGTTAAATATAGGTCTATAGGTTAAATATAGGTCTATAGGTTAAATATAGGGGTTAGATATAGATCTATAGATTAAATATAGATCTATAGGTTAAATATAGACCTACAGGTTGAATATAGGTCTATAGGTTTAATATAGATCTATAGGTTGGATATAGATCTATAGATTAAATATAGATCTATAGGTTAAATATAGATCTACAGGTTAAATATAGGTCTATAGGTTTAATATAGATCTATAGGTTAGATATAGATTAAATATAGATCTATAGTTTAAATATAGATCTATAAGTTAAATATAGATCTATAGATTAAATATAGATCTATAGTTTAAATATAGATCTATAAGTTAAATATAGATCTATAGATTAAATATAGAGCTATGGGTTAAATATAGATCTATGGGTTGAATATAGATCTATAGATTAAATATAGATCCATAGGTTAAATATAGATCTATAGATTAGATATAGATCTATAGGTTAAATATAGATCTATAGATTAAATATAGATCTATAAGTTAAATATAGATCTATAGATTAAATATAGATCTATGGGTTAAATATAGATCTATGGGTTAAATATAGATCTATAGATTAAATATAGATCCATAGGTTAAATATAGATCTATAGATTAGATATAGATCTATAGATTAGATATAGATCTATAGGTTAAATATAGATCTACAGGTTAAATATAGATCTATAGGTTAAATATAGATCTATAGGTTAAATATAGATCTACAGGTTAAATATAGGTCTATAGGTTTAATATAGATCTACAGGTTAAATATAGGTCTATAGGTTTAATATAGATCTATAGGTTAGATATAGATTAAATATAGATCTATAGTT